TAGCCCTTGCTGCCTCTCCAACGGGAGATGTGCTCTGCTCGGGGCACCCGGGGAGGTGAAGGAGGAGGTGAGCGGGCTTTGCGCCCTCAGGCACGGTGAGGGACCTCAGGGAGTTCGGGGGCGCCACCGAGGGGAGTGGTGCAGCTGATACGCCTGAGGGATGGGCCGGTGCCATCCAAAGGGGCCTGGGCAAGCTTGAGAAGTGGGCCTGTGTGAACATCGTGAGGTTCAACAAGGCCAAGGGCAAGGTCCTGTGCCTGGGTCAGGGCAACCCCTGGTATCAACACAGGCTGAGGGGTGAAGAGATCGAGAGCAGCCTCGCAGAAACTTCTGGAATGTATTGAAGGTAAATTTCTTGATGCAGCTGGCTGATGAACTAGCTAGGAGAGATGTTTTGCTGCTCACAAACTGGGAAGAACTGCTGGAAGATGCAGAAGTCAAGGGCAGCTGTGGCTGCCGTAAGTACAAAACTGTGGAGGTCAAGGATGTATTGAAGGTAAATTTCTTGATGCAGCTGGCTGATGAGCTAGCTAGGAGAGATGTTTTGCTGGATATGCTGCTCACAAACTGGGAAGAACTGCTGGAAGATGCAGAAGTCAAGGGCAGCTGTGGCTGCAGTAAGTACAAGACTGTGGAGTTAAAGGTTCAGATAGGAGTGAGCATGATAAAGAGAATTACAATTCCAGACTCCAGCAGAGCAGATTTGGCCTATTCAGGGACCTGCTTGGGAAGATCTAATGGGAAACAGCCCTGGAGAGCAAAGGGACCCAGGGGAGCTGGGTGGTTCTGAAGAACAATTTCCTCAGAGCACAAGAATTGTTCAGTCCAATGTGCAGAAGCCAAACACAGCAGCAGGCTGGCATGCATGAGCAGGGAGAGCCTGACTGAGCTCAAACAGAAAAAAAAAGAAGTATGCAGGAGGTGGAAGCAGTAGACCACTTGGGAGGAACATAAATACAGAAGACATTTTACACTACATGCATGGGCAAAGCTCAGCTGGAGTTGAAGTCAGCAAAGGAAGTGAAGAACAGCAAGGAAGGATTCTGCAAGTGCCATCAGCACTGTCATAAAGACAGATGTCATTCCTACCTTCAAGAAAGGTGAGAAAGAAGATCCAGAGAGCCACAGGCTGGTTCACCTCGCTTCAGTCCTTGGGAAGGCTATGGAGCAAAGCCTCTCAAAAACCCTTTCTAACTTTCATGAGGAGCAGTGAGCATCTGACCCAACTCCTAGCTCATAATGAGTTCACCATTGCTATGGACAAGGGGAGTCCAGTGAACATTGCATACCTTGACTGCTTTAGGAACACCCCTCAAACCCCCAGTCTTCTTATCACCAAATTTATGATGTGGAGTGGGCAAGTGGGTAATTAAGTGGGTGGAAAACTGACTGGGCTGCTGAGCTCAAAATTGTGATCACTAGTACAGTCTGTAATTATTGGTGTCCTTCAAGGTTTTGTAGGTAGGAACAACTCCAAGGGAAAGAAACTACTATAGTCCTCTCACTTGGAAAATCCTGTGGCTTTGAGTACTGACTCTTTTAGTGCAGTCATCATTGTCTTCCCTCTTGTGGTTAAAATCAGATAATGATCCTGCATTAATTACTTGGGAGGGTGATTAATTGAAGAATATGTGTAAAAAAAATCCAATCACTGTGATGGTCAGAATTGCCAAGGATGCAAATGTGGTGCCCATGAACTACAGCTCTGTTTCTCTAGAAGTGTTTTTTAAACAGCTTAACAGAATCTACAATTTGCTATTCTGTGTGATCTGTTTTAACAATTATGTTTTTTTCCTCTTTTTTCAATAGTACTACATTGAAGAAACAGTTATTGAGGAAGGTGAACCACATGAGGTAAAGGTCCCTGTGATGTTGCATGTGATGTACATATGCTTGTAATTAATGTGTAATGCTAAACTGGTAGCCTTTTGTGGTCTGAGGGCTAATTTTTCATATCAAACACACAAATACCACAGAATATTTGCTGATTAAAATGAAGCATTTTCACTTCTGGAAGTAGAGACTGTGAAAATCTGCCATGACCTTCAGAAAGTGAAGTTACTGAGAAAAGACTGAGCTGACAAGTGTAACCACTGACCAGAATTAATTCTGTTCTAACCCAAACCAGGAGAATTCATAAAGTGTTTTAAAATCTCTAACCAGACAGAATTTAAAGGCAATAACACCATCAGTTATCACTGTGTCCAGTTTGCATCAGACTTTAAAGGATTTTCCAGTGCCAAAACTTAGATGAACACTTGTATATTTGAAAAAAAAAATTGTAAGACAGAAACTTGTGGTGGTGCTGAAGTTACTAATAATATCCTGGGACAGCATTAATGACTTGCAATTAATGTTTATGTAGTAAACAAACCTTTTGTAATTTCATTTTTTAATAATTCTCCATTTAATGTTTAATGCTTGGTGCATTTTCTGGTCTGTCTCACAGGACTGCAAGTAGCCATCAGAAATCTGAGCCTTTTAAAGGCACTTTTGTTTTAATGCTAAATGATAGGAAATAAATATTGATACTTTCTTATTCAGGTGATCTTGGAGCATGATTTTAAGTTGTAATAATTATTTTTAAATGCTTTTCATTAGAATGTTAGTATTAAAATTATTGCTTACAGCATGAATAAGTTAATTAGCAGATAAATGTTTTAAATTAATTAGGGGATTGTTACCAGTGGAAAACACTGTGTGTCTTCAACACAACTCCAGCACTGAGAGCATTTCTATGCTTTGTGGTCCCACCTGAGAACTCCCCTCATGCATGTGGAAGTTATCCACACAGGAGAGAGGCAACAGGAGCCCCACTCTTCCAGCTCCTCTGGAGAATAATTGCATGAGTTTGATGCAGAAATCAGCCAGTCAGTTAATTCCTTGTGGGTTTTTTTTTTAGGTTGAGTGAGGTATAGTGGGTGTACTGGTTCATCCCAGCAGGAAAAGTGTCACTGATTTTCTGTCTTGCAGGTAGTTAATGAATAAGATCCTTTTGCTAGATAGGGGAGGTGAAAAATGCTTATCATAAAAGGAGGATTTTTAGTTATAAAACAATTAATTATTGTTTTTCTTCATTCCCAGGTGGTCACTGAGATCACTGAGACCATTAGCACAGACTTCTCAGGTCCTGAAACTATCACACACACAGTGGAACATGCAAAACCTCCTGCTGAGGTTGCAGCAGCTCCAGCCAGGAAGAAGATAATAAGGACAAAAGTGGACACCTCCAAGTTTTTGACACCTTATCTGCAACACAGTAATAAAATGAAGGACCTGTTCAGTGAGGTAAATTGTCCCTTGTCTTTTATTTCTTGAGCAGCACCAGCCTTAAAAATATTTAATAGGTACTATTGGAAACCTTCATGCTACTTTTTTTTGTCTCCTCTTTCTTTCATGATGTGTATTAAGGTTATATGCCCAAAGTAGGAAGTTTCCTTGTTTGAGTTAACCCCTTTCTTGGCTGTTTCCTGCATTAGATCATCATTAGGCACAAAAAGTGGCTTGAGGCAGATGGCTGAAGATTGTCAGAGATGCCAAGACTCCTGCTCTGTCTGGCTTGGACAGCCAAGTGAAGAAAGATAACAGGGCCTAATGCCTATTGAATAGCAAACCTTAATATTTTTTTATAATAGTATATTTCTTTATCCCTCCATGTATTCAAGAAAAACCCTTATGCACAGTATATAGGAACAAACATCAACCTAAATTCCTCATATGGGATATCACAGTCCAGTAGAACAGCACTGTACAATGCTGTGAAAAGTGGAAAACCACTGCTCTGCACAGATGCAGGTGGTATCTGATCTCTTTTCCTAAATTTTAACCTATATAAACCACCATCATTCACTCTTTTAAGGTTGTGTGGGATTGTCAGTGTAGCACTGCTCCCCTCACCCATGCATTTTTCTTTGGTTACTGAAACAAATAACTGTAAATTTATCAATATCAAGCTCCTAGGGAAAACACAATCAACTAGAGGTGGTGTAAACCAAGCTAAAGGTACAAATGGATTTCTTCTGTTGTGTCAGATATAAGAAAGTTGGTTAAAATAAGTGTAACTCTGTAATTGAGTAATGACAGTTTGTATTACTCAATAATATGCTTAAAAATTCCTATACTAACCAGATAAATACACCAATAATTGCTGCATACATCTCTGCCAGAGCTTTAGGAGGTGTCTTATTACATCTGTCATTGTTTTCTTTCAGAACAAGTACAAAGAAAAATTCAGAAAAGAAAAAGGAAAGCCTTATGCTTCCACAATTGACACCCCAGAAATTCGGAGAATCAAGAAAGTGCAAGAGCAGCTCAGTGAGGTCAGTGTCCACTGCCATATGAAAAAATATTTACTGAGTGGTAAAGAAGCAACTTGAGGCACAATTTTAAATGTTAGATAAGAAGTGATAATTTTTTTGGTGATATTGTGTTATTTAGCAGAAACTTTATCAGATGACAAGAGTGAGGAATAGAGTATGTGACAATCTGAGCTCTGTCTTGCAGGAAGGAATTCAGGGCTTCCAGTGAGGGAGATGGGATGGTTCCTTTCTAGCTGAATAATAGCCCTGTTTCAACTGTGCCTAGAGAGGTTTGAATATTTCCAGTCAGAAGTTACAGGCACAGGAGGTGATGGCAATGCCCAGATCATGGATTTTGAAGATTCCATGCACTCTATCTTTTAGTCATCATGAATAATGTCCTTGGTGATTTTTTTTTGTTGTTGTTGAGGTTAAGCTGTGAGACAGGTAAATAACACTAGAAATCTTGTTTAAAATTTTTTAATTTGTGTTTAATTTTAGTTAAAATTTTTGTTATCACAAAGCAACTGAAAGTCAGTTTCCTGAAGAGACACTGAAAGAATGGTGCTTAGATTCTCTAAGCATTGCAAAATTAACTTCTGTACATCTTTTCTGTGGGATTTTCCAAGAGGTGTTGTTCCCTCTGTGCTCTGCCTTTGAAAGCCAAGTGTGATTGCCCCACTGGCACTGTGCCTCTAGCTCTGGCAGCTAGGTCATCCTCCCCTCTTTCTTTTAAGCAGCTCTAATCTACCTTTCACCTTCACACCACACGGTTTGGGAAACTGAAATCCACCTTCAAAGGCTGCTTAAGTCTTTGTGCAGTAAATAGGGAGTGTTGAGTCCTTAGGAATGGGAATCCCTAAAGCTTCTGTGGTAATGGACTGTGAAATTGAGACATACCACACAGCATGGGGATCTCTCTGTCTCCTTATACAGGGTGGAAGTGCTTTTAGAGAGAACTCTGATTACCTCTAACTGGGATTCATATCTCTTGAAACTCTCTCAGAGCTGCATTTCTTTCTCAGTTAATTCACAAAATCCCTTTCTTTCCATAGGCTTCATTTCTAAGGAAGAACTAATCCTAAACTCTGTTGAATTCAGGTTTTGAGTGTTTGCAGAACAAAGTGTCAAAATGCCAATATTCTTGGGGAAAAAAAGGTGTTTGCTGTGAGAATAATGTGGTTTTTTTACACCTTGGTGCAGGTTAAATACCGCATGGCTGGGGAAGCTGCTAGGACTATTTGCCACGTGGATGAAAAGGCCAAGGATATAGAACATGCAAAGAAGGTGTCACAGCAAGTGAGCAAGGTGAGAGAGCTCTGGCTTTCTGGAAGGGGTGTGAACATTTGTGGATGGGGAGGTTACTAACAGGAATAAAGTTTTGAGCTCAGGGCACTAAAGCAATCTTTACAGAACAGTTTAGAAGCACAGGGAGAGAGAGAAGTTGATAAGACAAATATAATCTTAAATGTTTCCAGTTAATGTCTTCAAACATCACTGGTTTGAGACTTTGAAAAATAAAATCTGTAAAGCAGATTTAATTTTGTTCATTCACAAAAGTAAGTCTTTTTCTAATGGTAGAGTAACCAATGTGCTGATCTTTCTTTCCAGGTATTATATAAACAGAACTGGGAGGAGAGCAAGGACAAGTACCTGCTTCCTCCTGATGCTCCAGAGCTTGTGAATGCAATAAAAAACACAGCAATGTTCAGTAAGGTAAGAAAAAAACCCCAAACCTAGGCAGTGAAAGTGCAAGAAGAATTCCAAGTCAGAGATGAATCCATAATGAGCATTCTGGCATTTTTCTGTTTTTTTTAGAAACTTTATACTGAAGACTGGGAGGGGGACAAAACATTATTCTATCCATACAATGACAGTCCAGAGCTCAGAAGGGTGGCACAGGCTCAGAAGTCACTGAGTGATGTAAGTATCAAAGCCTGGTTGACCCTTGGGTCACAGTGTAACTTGGTAGACTTCGTGGTGGATTTTGACTAGATATAAAAACTTCATAATGGAACAGAAAATAAAACCCCACGGGTGTGCACTGATGGTTAGCTCTCATAGTAGTGGCATTTCCATAGAAAAATACATATATTAGAGTATAAATCTGTTGGCAATTGGACTCTGGATTAGGAATGAATGAGATAATTATTAAAAATCTTCTGAGGTGATCAGTAAGAAGACCTCAAGCATCTCTCAAAATTCATGGAGAAGCTCTCAGCGTTGGCTCTAAGCCCAGCTCACTCTTGTGGATCTATAAATCTGTCTCTATAAAAGAGTGAAAGGAAAATTTAGGAGTCTATGTGGTTTGCTGATACTTAGGTACACAGACTTCTTCAACAGAGGATTTCAGGTCTCACTTAAAGATTTCAGTGAATTTTGCAGGTGTCTAGAAGTTCACCAGGTCATGTTTATCAGGAGTAACAGAGTAATATACCTGAGAACTTTCCCAGGGAGCTGATTCTTTTTCACTGCCTCTTATCAAGAGATTTCTCAGTAGTCCTCCAGAAAACATGGACTGAAAGAACTTATGCTGCAGTAGCTGTGGCCAGAACTACTTTAATTAATGGTGTTGTTAGCAGAGTTAAATATTCTGATGTTTAAGTTGGTAGTCACTGTAAATGTTTCCTTCTTTCACGTTTTCAGATTGTCTACAAAAAGGGGCATGATGAAAGAAAATCTAAATACACTTCTCTACCAGATCCACCTGATGTGGAACAAGCCAAGAAAGTGACAAGGCAGCTGAGTGATGTGAGTAGAAAGCAGAGCTCTTCTTTCTGTAGGAACCTCACTTTTGGTTTGGAGTGAGTGAGTTACAAGGATAACCCAATTTTGCTGAAAAGTTGCCTAGGTCAGCTGCACAGAAAACATCCTAAACGTTCATTTCAGTGTCCAGCCATTGTACACATACATATTCTGCTATAAAACAGTCAGCTAGACAGGTACCTCCAAACCAACCAAAATGTAGAATTTTTTAAGGTTGTTTTTGGCACATATGTTCATTATCAATGTGGTAACAATGACAAAGCCACTGGAGAAGTTGCATTTTTTGTGCTGAGTGACAGAGCTGGGGCTGAAAACGCATTTGGAACACTGAGGCAAAACTTGGGAAGATGTTTTATTCTTAGAGAGACAGGAAGTGTCTCTTTAAACTCTTAATAATTGATTTCCATGTGCTTGAATATAGTCTAACAGAAATTATGTGTGCCAGGGATTCTATATATTAAAAGGGTTTGTTTATAACAAATTTCAGCAGTAGTAACAATAAATTCTGCCTTAAACAATGGTCACTACTATGTCCTAATATTATGTGACCAGTGAGAAAACAGAACTAAAGGAATATGTTAGTGCTGCCTCTCATAGAGATATTTTCATATCAATAACTGTCTTCTAGAAAAGATCACCAATTTCACCCATTTCTTCTTTTTTTTCTGGGTCAGGGAAGCTACTAAGAGAAATAACTGAAGTGGTTCAGGTCAAATCATATTGGAAGTGATTTGGACAATAACTGATAAAATATTTGTAAGGCAGCTGTAAAATGTGAAGCAAATTTAAAAAGAACTTTTTTAAAAGTCAAATGAAAATTGAGCTGTGTCTTGGGGTTTAAATTATATGTATTTTTTTCAATTTTTCCCTAGATTATTTACCACAAGGACTATAAGACCAATGTCAAAGGCAAGTGGAGTCAGACTCCATGCTATGACGTTGCAGTTGCAAAAATGAATGCAGAAAATCTAAGCATGGTAAGTGAATTCTTCAGAAAAACTTGATGTGAACAACTTTATCATCCTCTGTGTGAATTAACGTGGAAAAATCCTGATTAATTTTTCCAGCTCCATTTGTGGTATTTATCTTTTCCTAAATAAGCTGCTTCATGGATGTCTGGTTTATATTGTGACTGCATTTGATATGTTGCTATCTGTTCTCTTCCTAACAGAAAAAATACCAGGAAGACTTTGAAAACATGAAAGACCAAATCTACTTCATGCAAACTGAAACCCCAGAATATGAAGCTAATAAGAGAGTTTCAAATAATGTCAGTAAGGTCTGTATTCACGTGTTCATCTTGAGTATTCTTCTGAAATCAGGCCAGTTGGTGCTGAAATGGTTTTGTCAAGTGTCAAATATATTTTCTCACCTGCAAAAGATGTATCCTTGTGTGCTTTCCACTAGGAAGCATGTGTCAGCTCTTAGCCATGCTTATCATCCTCCACAGTAGTAACCCTGAAGTAAAATATTCTTCATTTGCTTCATTGTTGGCTCTGTGCCTGATTCTCAGTTGGAAGAAATCAATGCTCTCAATCAAGACCAAGTTGAGCTAGCTGAATTTGGCTCAGCATTTTCCTACTTCTTCCTCCTTGCTCAGTGTATCTCAGTGATGCTGTGCTGGCCCATATTTTGTCTGAAATAAATGTTTGGCTTCTCCATGTTCTACAATAACATTTGCATCAGCAGAGACAAGCACATGTCAGTTGTTGTAAGAGTGTGTCTATTCTGAGAGGTCAACTGATATTTAGAAATTTACAATGTTTGGAGAGGGGCTTAGAGGTGGGGACATCAACTAAACAGCTCTCATTTACCTTGTGCCTCTGGCTCCCTGATCTAAGTGCCTTTCATGGCCATTTGAAGTTAAAAATGAACTTTGTGAACATCAATCATGAAATAAAAAAAGGGATTTTTTAACTGAAAAGTTCAAAATTATATAGGTTAGCAAGTGTTTGGCTTTTAATACTAATTTTTAAAGCCTCACCCTTTTTATTTTCATTCTTTTAAAGACAAAATACAGAGCTGACTATGAAAAGAACAAAGCTATTGCAGATTACAATGTGCTTCCTGCTACAGAAAACCCACTGCTGAGGCAATTAAAAGCTGCAGGGAACGTGCTGAGTGATGTAAGTATTATCAAAGTACAGCTGGATGATTTTCAGTCATGTAGAATAAACCAAACTCCATTTCTTCAGAAGGATCTCTTAGTTTTATAGACCAGTATTTGTCATGAGATACCACCAGCCAGACTGGTACAGATAAGGAGTTGTTTCTACACAGAAGAGTTTAACAATAGCTGTGGCATCTTATGGGGATAGTTAATTATTGTGTAGTTCATCTAGTTCCCTATGGAAAGTGGAGCAAAAGATGGAAGTTTTTCCCTTACAGTTTTAAGGAGCTTCAAGATGTGGCCACAATGATAAAATAAGTGGCACTTTTACATATCCACATATATTGTATTCTGGTCACTGTAATGGATTTCTTGATTTCTCTCTTGCTGTTTCCATGTGCAGGGACAGAGAATGCACATTTCTCTCAGTATAAGAAGTTCAAAACCCATTAGTCAGAATTTCCCTCTCAAACCTGTGTGTAGTCACTTAAAAAAGGCTTTTTAAAAAAGAAATCATTTGGCAAAAAGTGCCATCTAGTTTTCAGTCTCCTGGGAAAGCTTTTCTGTGCCACAACACCAGTTTTTTACTCTTGTCAGCCAGTGAGATCTGAGTTATTTGACGTTATTTTCTTCTGCAGAAATTGTACAAACAAGCCTATGAACAATCAAAAGGAAACAACATGAATTACTGTGACACACCAAAATTCCAGATTGATGCTGCCCTGAAGAACTTCAGTGATGTGCGTATTTGTTTTGTTGTGTTGTTCACTGCCCACACTCTTGGTTACTTTTATTTACCCACATGTGATCGTTTCTCCAGGTAAAATACAAAGATGCATATCAAAAGAATATCTTGGGACACTATTTGGGCAGCTTTGAGGACCCACATCATACACACTGCATGCAAGTTGAAGCCATGAAGAGTGATGTAAGTGTGGGGATCATTCTGTTCTCACCCTCCCCCTTTCAGAGGAAGCTCAGTTGTGGTTTCTCACTGAATGTTGATTTGATCCCTAGAAAAATTACAAAGCGGATTATGAGGAGGAAAAGACAAAATGCTACTTCCCTCAGACCATCACTCAAGAGTATGAAGCTATTAAGAAGTTAGAGCAGTGTAAAGATGTAAGTACAGGACCATGGTGGTTCTCAAGTAGCCAGCTACAGGTGGAGTATCTGCTTCTGAGGCAGGGAGCAATTTACAACGTGGTTCCTGTTAGCTTTGATGATTTTTAGCTGGGCTTTATTAGCATATGTGACTTCATCGGTATTTTACAGCCTTTTGTGACATCTAGTGATCAAGAGAGGTATAGCACAAGCTTTTTTTAACCAATTAAGAACATGAACTTGGAGCAAGAGTACCAAAATGATGAACCTCAAGCATCTACCTGCTTAAGTCAATATATTTTTACATTGATACTTTAAAAGTACTTTAATGACTTTATTAATACTAATTTTATTCAGCTTGTCTGTAGTTGGAGGATACTTTAAATATTTGTTTGTGTATAATACACTCTCTATACTATATATAGGTATGTATATACTCTCTCTCTCTCTATATATATATAAAATAATGTTTAATCTATTACAATATATACTCTACATTACAATACTTATATACCCACCCAAAATATTTCACACCGATACCTAAAAAGTATTTTAAGGATTTATGAACTCTCAGATTATGTTAAAAAGTAACCTGAGAACCACTGTGCATGACAGAGCTTACTGCACCCATGCCATAGTTGCTGACTATCCCAGGAGATGTGACATTGCTATGTCTTATAAAATGCTTTTATACCTTTTCTGCAAATATATTTATTATCTTCCTTCAGCACACCTACAAAAAGCACCCTGATCAAACCAAATTTACTCAAGTGACTGACTCTCCAGTACAGAAGCAAGCAGAGATCAACAGCAAGCAGCTGAGTGATGTGAGTAACCTTAGAGAACGTGTTGCTACACTCTGACATTGCTGATTCCTTCTGCACTGTGGCCACCTTCACTTCATCACCCACTTCTAAAGGATCTCCTGCAGTGAATGTGTAGGTGACTGGGTGTCCATAGATGTGCATGCAAGCATAAACACATCTGTGGGTATCCACAGTTCTGTTCCAGCTGAGCAGTGGAAATTTGTTTTGGTTTTTTTTTTTAGTTTTTCAGTTGGCTGTTCATGTCAGTTTTTAGTGTGTATCTTTGTAATTTTGTTTCTGTCCACCATTTTGGCTTGTGCTCCCTGGGGCCATTTCAAGCCCCCACAGTTGCCCTTGGCCAAGGTCACACCATGCCAGCCCTGCCCAGGGGAGCTGGTGGCTGCTGCTGGGGCTCTCAGCCTAACAGCTGAGTGAGGAAAGAGTCAGTGGGGTCTATACCATCCACTTGGCAATGACTGGGATCCCATCTCTGACTCTGAATGAGGGAACACTGTAGTCCCCCAAAAAAGGGTCCTTTCCCCAGTGTGCAAAGCCAGTCCACACCTGGAGTGGAGAGCTTGGATTTATTTCAGCTCTTCAGAAATGAGTGTTGGGCAACAAATCACAAGTGCAGCCCCTGTTACCTCAAAGAGCAGCAGTTTATATACAGTACAAATAACAGAGAAACTAGATGTGATTGCTTACATGATTTCACATCCCATTAATCTCTAGGTGCATCAGTTACCCAATTCATTATGCTGTCACCTAATTCATTACACTAAGGAGGTCCTACATTTACTTTTAATTCTCCTCCTAAATCCATGTTTTGATTTTGGTCCAAATCTGTCTCTGGTTTATACAAAGAAGCCAGAACAAAGGTGCTACCTACAAAGGCTGACAGAATTTTACTGTCTACTGCTCTTAATTACTATGCCTTGTTTCTGGTTATTTTAATCTTTAAGGTTATTTTGTCCTTTAGTCTTTAGGAGCCTTCTGTGCTTGTTATCCTGCTTTCAGGCCAGTTCATTACATGCTTATTCAACCTCAAAGTTTTTAAGTCTGTCCTGTCATCATCTACATAAGATCTTCAAGCTGTGTCACTCAGGATTATTAAGCATTTACAATCTATAAACATTCAGTTGCTAAATTCCTTTCTTTTTCTTTGCAGATTCTGTATAAATCCAAAGGTGAAGAAATTATTCACAAGTACCACCTCCCTCCAGATGTCCCCCAGTTTATACAGGCTAAAGTCAATGCTTACAATATTAGTGATGTGAGTATGCTTTGAATCCAGAGCTCTTGATTCAACTACACTGTGAAGTTTCTGTTAGCTAGAAACTGATCATTTAAACTTCACCTTTTCTCCTAGAACTATTACAAAATGGGATTGGAAGAATTAAAATCAAAAGGATATGATCTAAAAATTGATGCTATTCCCATCCAAGCTGCCAAGGCTGCTAGACAGGCTGCCAGTGATGTAAGTATATCCTTCCTGAAGGAACTGTTTCATTCAAAAGAGTTTAGCTAAACAATGCACAAGTCTCACTAGAGCCAGTATTATGAGGACAAGATTTTAGTCTTTCCCAAAGACTTAGTTTGTGTAGAACTTACTAGAGCTCATCTTGTTTGCTTCAGATAGGCAAATGTGTCTGAACAGTGTTTCTTAATCCACTTGTCACAGGAGAAATTAAATCAGAAGCTCTTGCAATCATTCTGTGACAAATTCCCAGAAGATACTCAGCACTAGCACCTGTTTACAGACCAGGAGATGAAATGCTGTGGGCACTTTTGCACAATGGCCTCTAGCTCTGCCTGTTCCTTGCCCATGGCTGCCTGCAGTGGTGTAGATGAACTTCAGCTGGGCTAACAGTCCCACCACCTTCTTTGGGGGAGAAGCCTTAATCCCAACCTGACCCTTCTCAGCCACTGCCATGGCTGCTGACTTATCAATACCACTCATGTCTTTGCTGCTGCATGGGTCACCATCTCCCACCTCCACTGAGACAGCAGAGTGAAGGACCTTGCCAGCAGTGTCCCACAAGCATTGGCATGCTGCTCCCAGGCTCCTCTCTAGCAAGCCCAATTTCAACCCCATTCCCCTCCAAATCTAGTTTTAAGCTCTTTCAGTGAGCCCTGCTAATTCTTGTCCCAGGATCCTTTTCTGTACCCCAAAGTGTACCCAGTCTGTTGGCAGCAGGCCTGGTGTCTTGTAAACCAACCCATGGTCAAAGAACCCAAAGTCCTGCTGGTAACACCAGGCTTGGAGCCAGGACTTGATCTGCTGGCTCTTCTGCTTAGCCCCTCATCAATCCCTGCCAGTGGTGGGACAGAGGAGAACACAACATGCTCCTGATCCCTTCAGCAGTCGTCCCAAGGCCCTGAAGTCTTTCTTTATTATCCTTGTACTTGATTTAACTTCAACATTGCCTACCTAAAAAAATATTAATAGGTAGTAATGTGGCTGAACCAGGTTAGGGAGTTGTCTCTGTGCCTTTAACCCTGGCCCTGAGGAGGCAGCAGATTGCCCTAAGTGGTGGGCGTCGCCTTCCACTCCCTTCAGAAGTGGGTCCCCCATTGCCCTTGTACTTGATTTAACTTCATCATTGCCTACCTGAAAAATTATTAATAGGTAGTAATCTGATGGCTGAACCAGGTTAGGGAGTTGTCTCTATGTCTTTAACCCTGGCCTTGAGGAGGCAGCAGATTGCCCTAAGTGGTGGCTGTAGCCTTCCACTCCCTTCAGAAGTGGGTCCCCCATGACAAGGACATGCCTTTTTGTCTTTACTGAAGGGGGTTTGACATGAAGCATACTCCAGCTCAGCCTTGGTGATGCTTCCAAGCTCAGTGGGCTGTTGTCTTTGTCATTATTTGGTTCCCTTTGCAGAACACCACACCTATTTTGCAAGAGCTCCTGGGAAGGTGAGGTAGTTACTGAGGACACACTCCTGCTACACCTGGCAGGAATTCTTTGTCATTGCTCCCTGTCCTCCAAGTCATCATGCTCAGCTAGCTGGGGAGAGGACAGGGAGCAATCCTTGTCCTGAGCTCTGTCTGCCTGTTGGGCCTGCCTCAGGGAGGGTAGGCCGTGGCTCCAGTGGTCTATCTCACACTCCCTGGCAGTCCTCAGTCTATTCTTCTCTTCCTGGAGCTCTGTCCCTTAGTGGAGGATCTCCTCTACCTGGACACACCTCCCATAGGTGTGTGGGCTCATTGCTGCCACTCAATACTGTCCAGAGAGTCCCTGCAGCCCAGCACCTGGGTGGTAGAGTGAGTGTTCCCACCAGAGCTCAGCTGGGAAGCTGTATCAATCCTGGTGGGTGCAGAGCACAGGGACACCACAGCTCTCTGCTGGGTGGACACCATTGCTCCCTGGCTGGGCTGGCAGAGCTTCAGCACCTTTCCTGTGCACCCTTCCATGAGAATATCTGCCACACAAACTGCTGCTGCCACGCTCCAGAAAGGCTTCTCTTATGAGCATGGGGGTGGTCACCATTGCCTGGGCAATGCCCAGGTGTCAGCAGCTCCTCCAGGAAGAGCTGTGGGTTCCTGGTGGTCTCTCCACTCCCCTGGCATTCCCCTACTAAGGGAAAACCTGGAAAACCCCTCGTGCACCAAGATCTGCTGCTCAGCTGCCTGCCCCAAAGCAGCAGATCTCAGCGACTGGCCCTGATCATACCCCACAGTCCATTTGATCTCTTTCTTCTGTTTCTAGTATAAATACAAAGAAGCATATGAGAAAGCCAAAGGAAAGCACGTGGGTTTCAGAAGCCTGCAAGATGACCCTAAGCTCGTCCACTACATGAATGTAGCAAAGATTCAGTCTGAACGTGAGTACAAGAAAGACTATGAGAAGAGCAAGGCTAACTACCATGCATCTCCTGACATGTTCAGCATCCAGGCTGCTAAACAGTCTCAGGACGTGGCTTCTAATGTCCACTACAAAAACCTGATCCACCACTACACTTACCTGCCAGATGCCATGAACGTCGAGCTGACCAAGAACATGATGCAAATTCAGAGTGATGTAAGTCTTTCAGTGGCTGCAGTTTCATGGGTGGTTCCCTGCACACCATGGGGGAAAAAAACCAAAAAGTTT